ACAGTGATGCACGCCTTTAATCGAAGCACTTGGGAGGCAGAGGCATGTGGATCCCTGAGTTCGAGGCCTGCCTGGTCTGCAAAGTGAGTTCCAGGACAGCCAGGGCTACACAGAGAAACCGTGTCTCAGAAAGAAAAAAAAAAAAAAAAAAAAAAAGAGGTGTGTGGGTGCTGGAAATTTTGGGGGTCTTATTCTCAGATTGATTTTAATTACAGCACAGGAAGGATTGACGTGGACTGGAATGGAACGAAAGACAAAGGTCACTCCTGGCTCATTCAGTCGACACCCTCCTCTGAGCAGAAGCAGCTTTCCCCAGTCTCAACTCAGTGTTAATATTCTAGGGCAAATGGGTTCTCTAAACACGTAAGCGGCAAATACACAAACATAGCCCGTGAATGGAAGAATATTCTTTATCCTTGAAAAATTCGGACCCATGGCATAAGGCAGGTATCAAGGACCTAGCCCAAGTGAAATAGTCACATGTGGGTTCTGTGTAAGTCTCCACAGGAGGATCTTAGAAAGAAAGGGGACAGTAGTGGCCCGGGGGCTGGGAAGTGGGGACAGAGGTAGTGCTTCTTTGATGGGTGTAGGTTTTGGTTATTTGAGGTAGAGTCCCAGAGATGAGCTGGACAATAACACAAACACGCTCAACACTGCTGCACACTTAAAAATGGCTAAGGTTCACTCAATACTGGGGTTTGTTTGTTTGTTTGTTTTTGTCACAATTCAAAAGGAAAGAGAAGACACAAGCTTCGGGATGGCTCAGGGTAATGAAAGGCCAGAGCTAAAAGGGAGAACTGGGAAACTCTGAGAGGCTTTTTAAAAACGAAAAAATAGAGGATGAAAACACAATATAAGCACAGCAAAAAGCAAACGGGCTATCCAAAGCACTGCATGAAGTGATGTCAGTCTGAACTCCAGCTCGGCCACAGCAGTGGGCAGAGCAGCAGCCGCATGGAGATGAAGAAGTGCTGTCAAGGAGTTGACAGACACTCATGCCCAAGACTCACCAAAAGGCCCAAAATTCAGACTCCAGAAACTTGAAGAACACCATTTTTTTTCTTTTCTTTTCATTCTTTCTCTTTCTTTTCCTCCTTCCCTTTTTCTTCTCTTCCTCCTCCGATTTACATATTTTTATTTTCTGTGCATTGGCACTTTGTCTGAATGTACGTGTCAAATCACCAAAAGCTGGATTACAGACAGTTGTGAGCTGCCGTGTGGGTGCACTGGGAGAACAGCCACTGCTCTTAACCTATGTAGCCTTGGCTGTCCCAGAACTTGCTTATGAGACCAGGCTGGCCTCGAACTCAGAGGTCCGAAGGTGCGTGCCACCACCACCCGGCTTAAGAACACCATTTCTAAGCTTCGCTTCCTGGGTGCACGTAAATGTTGCCCTCGGGGTAGAGATTTCTCCTTAGCTGTGCAGCGTGGACGCTGAGCTCACATAGGGCAGAAAAAGCATCAGTCGGGGGCTTCAGGAGCTGAGCCTTCATCCCAAGTCTCTTTCCTAACAGCAGAGTTGGTTTAATGGCTCCCAAGAGGTAAAGATGAAGGTGCACTCTGCAAACCAGATGGCACATAGCAAGCCCAGCACCTGCTGCTGCCATTGCTACTGCATCACTATTGGCTACATGCTTGTCATTTTGCCCACCCCAGGTTCTCCAACATCTTCTACAGAAGTTGCCAACATGTGGGGTTTTGTGGATTTGTGATCCCACAGTCTCCTTGGGTGTTTACAGGGACCAGGGCCTGTCGAATCTATCTCGGTGGTCTTTCTTGCTCTTATCCAGCAAGGTGCTTCTCTTCTGTTACTGCCCGCACCTGCGACATCACCGCAGGCATTTGGAATAACTGTCAGTGAAGCCCAGGGATTAAGAACCTGCTGCAAAATTGGACCTGGGTTTGAAACTTCACTCTAGTACTCGCTTGGCTGTGTGACTGTGCTTACACAAACACAGATGTCAGCAGTACCCACGTCAACGAAATTTCAGGGGAGAGAAGGTGCTGAGTTCACAATGGGCATGCAATAGATGTGCAGCTACAGGGCAGAGAGCAGAATTTACCAGACCATCTGAGAATAGGTTTGTTTTGTTTTGAATAAAAATCTAACCATTATTTATTTTCTGTGTGAGTCTATATGTATCAAGGTACACATATGGAGGTCAGAGGGCAACCTGAGGGAGTCATTCTCTCCTTCCACCATGTAGGTCCCCAGGAGTGAACTCAGTCGGGCTTGGAAGTGCTTTTACTCGCTGAGCCGCTGCACCCACTTTATTTTTATTTTTTTCTGAGACACGGTTTCTCTGTGTAGCCTTGGGTGTCCTGGACTCGCTTTTTAGACCAGGCTGGCCTCGAACTCAGAGATCTGCCTGTTGGTGCCTCCCTGAGTGCTGTGATTAAAGGTGTGTGCCACCACCAGGGGCCAAAAGAAAGATTTTTAAAGAGGCTAATACCTAGTTTTTCATGGGACTTTGAGAGCCACTGAACTGAACTGAGGAGGTGGTTGATTCTGCTAGTGTGAGAGCCTCTATGCCCATTGAGCTCTTCTTAAGACAGAGACTATCAGGGGAGAAGGGGATGAAGTTAACAGCTCCTGCAAAGCTGCTATCTCAGCACACCCGATCAGGTAGTCACCTTCTCCCAACACACAGGGCAGCAGCCCTCTTTGATAAATGTCAACTGAAATAGAGCAATCAGCTGAAAACCATTTGCTGAGCCGTCTCACCGCCCTGGGCTCGGGGCTTTCCTTTATTCATTTATCATGATATATGGCTTTGGCCAACATACACACAGGAGAGAAATTGTTGACATGTGGAACCCAAGTACTGAAAATCTTTCATCCATCCCCACCCCCGTCTGTTCACCAAATAAGTTTTGTTTATTTAAAGACTACAGAGGATTTGGCTGTTAAGAACCAAATGCCTTTGGAGTGCAGTTACAACATAATTTATCATTTCCTCTGTTTATTAAAAAAATCCTGCATCTTTGAGCAGCACATTTGCAGCGAGCATTCTGGCCACTCACAGAACTGAACCCTTGCAGAGCCTCTGCCATGTGGCTAATGCTGCACTCGTGGGCTGACTTCCCACTCATCCCTGGCCTTGAGGGTAGGTGAGCTGGGTAAGAAGGCACCTTAAGTCCTTTCATCCTTGGCCTGGTTGAATCCTCACTGGCTATGTCATAGCACAACCCACCTGTGTAGGCAGAGGAGCAGTAGGAGGCTCACTACCTAGTAGAGCCCAGCTTAGCCAGGCCTCACCACCTAGAACTGGATCAAATCTCCCAGCGTGAGGCACCATGGCTGATTCAGCTCAGTGTAGCCGCACTGCTCAAAGCCAGCAGCCTCTGTGTTCTAACACATAATACAGCAAAAGCTGGTGCCCACCAGACCCTGACAAGACAGCAGGGGGTCATGGCTTCTTCAGGTGAGACAACTGGGCAGTGCCGGGAGTGTGGCCACCCAGGATACCTGTGCGGATTCACACCTCTCAGGATCTTGCGCCTCCCCAACCCCCACTCATCTGCACCCTTCAGAACATGTTTCACAAGAAGCCAGTAAGCCTACCTCTCAAGTCCTGAGCAGCACCCTGGCTAATTAACCAGATCAAAGGCGAGGGCTGGGAACTGGCTTTGTGTGCTCCAGACTTGTGGTTGTCATCAGAAATGGGGCACTTTTCCACGGCCCAGGGCAGAACCCCAGACTCTACAGGTGGGTGTGTCAGAACTGACTCAGTACAGGACACCTGGACGGTATGCACTGGGGAATTCTGTTTGTGGGGAAACCGCTGTTTCACCTCTGCCGTCAGTGGGAGGCACAGGCTCTGGAATGCCGCTTACAACTTTTATCTCTGCTCTGCTGCTTGCTAGCGGTATAGCACCACTTGACAAACATATTCCTTGTAAAATGAGGCTGATATTGAACAATGGAAATGCTCCTTAGCCAGGCATAGTGGCACACACCTTTGATCCCAGTATTTGGGAGGCTGAGGCAGCAGATCTCTGTGAGTTCAAGGCCAGCCTGGTCTATATAGTGAGTTCAAGGACAGCCAGGGCTACGTAGAGAGACCCTGTCATCAGGGGCAAAAAATAAAAGAAAAAGAAAAAGCTCAACCACTTCCCTACTCCACTGTCTGGGAGTATCCAGTCCCTAACACTGTCTTATCTGTTTCCATATTTGTACATGAAGGTGATACATCTGTCCAGTTTCCTGTGAAGATTACCAATAATGCCTAAAAGATAGCTTTATTATAGTTAATGAATGAAAAAAAAATGATTGCAGGAGAGAAAAAAAAAGACAAATTAACTTAACTTGACACTGAATGCCATGCTACAACAGGTGAGCTGGTTCAGCCGATAAAGGTGGTTGGTGCAATACTGAGAGTCTGAATTCTGTGCCCAGGTCCCATACGGTGAAAGAGCTGACTCCTGGGAGTTGTCTGACCTCTATGTGAATGCTATGGTGGGTGCCTTCATATGTGTGCACACACACAACGATGCAAAAAAAAAAAAAAAAAAAAAAAAAGACGGGCCCGGGCCGCAACAAAGCCCCTGTCTATCAGAAGACAGGCCTTGGAGAAACGGCCCCTCATTTCCAAATAAATGTTGACAGAAGCAAGAGTGGGGTGACAGAAAGAAAGGAAAAGCATTTGGTCAGCAGCTACTAATTTTCTCACAACATAAATACACGGACAGCTTCAAGCGTTATCCTGTGCCATTCTCTCTGGTAATTTTGTCAAGATACAGACTACCAGAAAAGAAAAAGAGGTTTAAATAAGAGGAGCGGAGTCCAAAATGGACTCGTAGATCTCTGCCTAGATCTATAGGCAGAGACTAGCCAGAGGCTGTGACTGATGTAATGCAAACAGGGCAAGCTGGTAAGGAGCTCAGTACACACAGAACAGCATGTGGGATGACAGGCCAGGGGCAAAAGCACTGCTCTTGGTGGCTTTATAAACAAGCTCTGGGCTCGTCCATCCAAATCACTCTTTCCTCTGCAGCTGTTATTTTTCCAATTTATTTAGGCTTGATCATTAGCAGTCATGGTGAAGGCCCACATTATCTCAAATGAGTTTAAACAAGGGCAGGGTCTCATTCCCTGTGTGAAAGGAGGCTCCTGTGATGAGGAGAAGAGCTGCTGAGCCTGACAGTGGCCGGTGGTGACATCTCAGTCAAGGTAACTGCCAACAGCAGACATTCTCTGAGGGCTTTCATAGCAGGAGATTCAGAGCAGAACAAGGCCATGCAGGGAAACAAGGAAAACATTCGGTAAGTCTGAGCACCTCAACAGGAGGCTCAGGCTCCCTTGGAGGAGAGGAGCAGCAGCGACGGCCTCCAGTGGACGGTCAGGGCAGTGGAGGCTCCAGCTTGCCACCTAAGGGATGAGCAGAAACTAGGCTCCAGTGTGCAGCTGTGACTGCTAACTTTCATCCGAGGAGCTCTTTGGTCTTTGCTGCTAGATGCCGGTCCAGCTCTGCCACTGTGTCGTCGGCCATTTGGCTGATCTGCAAAAAGAAAAACTCAAGTTTGATGACTGAGGTAGGGGACAAATGTTCCTGGAACATGCAAAGGCTCCTGGGAAATACCGACAGTGACAAGGTTCACATTAACTGAGGCCACCCAGGCTCTGCACTAGGAAATGTATGCAAACACTGTTCCTGGTTCTCAGCAGCAGTCCTGCAAAACAGGTATGGTGAGTCTCCCTTTAAGATAAGAAAACAAGACAGACCATTTATTCAGGTACACAGTCAGAAAGTCCTAACACCGAACTTTAACACACAGCAGTCCGATTTTACAAGCCAACATTTAAAACTATTATACAGAGCAGAAAAGCCATGCTGCCTCTTAACAAGCAGTAGCTCAACCTTCCCAATGCTGTGGCCCTTTAACACAGTTCCTCATGTTGTGGTGTCCAATTATTTTTTATACTATTTCATAACTGTAATTTTGCTACTGTTATGAATCATAATGTAAGTATCTGATATGCAGGCTATCTGATATGTGACCCCTGTGAAAGGGTCGTTCAACCCCACAAAGGGGTCATTGCGACCCACAGGTTGAGAACGACTGTTCTGGAATTTCTTATACCTCAGCTACTCTATTTCAGAAAGCCTTTAGATGAGTTGATGGAAAGAATTGCAAGACCCTAGAGTTAAACAGGAAAAAGAAATGCACATCTGATCAACAAACAGAAAACGCAACAGACCGAAAAATGCAAATTAAAACAAGATACAGCTTCAGCTATCACTGCTAGCAAAACTTGATGTTATTGTTTTTAATTACAATATTCAGAACCAGCAAGCTACAGTGAATGGATAAGCTCCCATATCACAGGTAGAAATTCAAATTGATGCATATGCTCAGACCATTTAATCCCCAAATGCCTCAACTGGGAAATTATCAAGAGAACATGATCTGAACATAAAATTCTTTTTATGTTCTATTATATAAAATATTATAATTATTATTTTATGTATGGTTGTTTTGTCTATGTGTCTGTTTGTGCATCAAGTGTGTCACTGGAACCTGAGGAGGCCATAAGAACAGGTGAGATCCCTTGAACTAGAGTTGCAGATGGTTGTGAGCCACCATGTGGGTACTGGGAATCAAACCTGGGTTCTCTGGAACAGCCAGGACTCTTAAGCACTCAGCCAGCTCGCTAGCTCCAAGTTGTTGGTTTTTAATTCTATTTCTATGAGTGTTTGTCTACATGTATGTGTGCCATGTGTGTGCCTGATACTTGGTGAATTCCCTGAAACTAGAGTTAAGTATGGTTATGAGCCACCATGTGGGTGCTGGGGACCGAACCTGGGCAGAACAATGGGTGCTCTTCATCACTGAGCCAACTCTCTAGGCCCTAGCATCCAAATTCTTAAGGTCTAGGTATAAAAATGTTTGTATTGGTTTCAAAAACTTTTAAAACTTTAGGCTGGGTACGGTGGTGCATGCCTGTAATCCCAGCATGCCGGAAGGCAGAGGCTGGCAAATCTCAGGACCTCTGGAAGAGCAGCCGGTGTTCCTAACTGCTGAGCCATCTCACCAGCCTTGGCAGTGCAGGTTTTACTTGGTGGCATAAGATGTCTAGTTGGGACACTGTTTCCTCCATTATAAATTCCTTTCATTATAGATATACAACATGCCAAAATCTTAACATTCTATCTTTTTTGGTGGAAAGATAAGTAACGTGTTACTTAGGTCTGAACTGATATCCCACCTACGACAGAGCACACATCACATTCTCAGGAAGTATTTATTAAGAGAAGAATTGATAAAGTTCTCTGTGTTTTTCTGCAAAAAGTATGCATGCCTTTCTAAGAATGATTTAGTAGGTGTTGCAGGCTCCCTTCTAAGTCTAAATGGGGTTGAAGCGAAGACAGCAGCTTTGGCAGGAAGCTCTGGGGGCTAGCAGAGTGTGCAGATCTGTGTGTTCAGCAGCACGGCAGCTGCTTGACATCTTTATTTGCCGACCACAGGCCTTGGCCAGGAATTAGAAACTAAATACACGGTTTGAAAGAGCAGAAACTAAAAAGGACTTGCAGCAATTGGTCCCAGACAGAAAAGTAGCCAAGCTCTCACCATTCTAAAAGCTACACATTTTTCAGCTGGAAAAGCAGAGCTCCTGGGGCTGCCAGATACTGTGGGAAGAGAGGCTGGACTCAGAATGGCAGCTGGTTCCCTCCTCAGGAGTCAGTCACAAATGTAGGAGATTTGTGTCTCTGGTGCTGCCCTGTGTAGGCCAGGGTCAATGGCCAGCAATGCACCAGCGCTGCAGGCTGCCAGTCTGGACCAGCCACGGGTGAAGGCCACAGTAAGGTTATCAGGGGACTGAGAAGGACTGAGAAGTGGAAGGGTAGACCCTGCTAACGTGCGAGGACATGCGCAAGTGACACTCCACTCTTTGTGTGTCCTCACCCACCAGACGAGGGTGCTAGTCCCTTCTCCTCACTAACCATGAAGTGAAAAGAGGACTATACAAGCACACAATAATCTGCTTATCTTACACAAATGCTGTTGTGTGACTATGACTTTTACCACCACTTTACGACTTCAAGCTAACCCAGTAACGAAAGTATTTACTAGGTTTTTACCAGCTAATACAAAGGGCCCCTGGGAACAGGGCACTGTAGGCTCACCTTTTCATCTTTATCAGACTTTGTAAAACACTGATGACTAAGGACACCAGCAGCAGCAGCAGCTCCTACTGGTTAACAATCCACAGGACACATGAATGCTGTTGTTTCCTTTAGCATATTTTCACCTAGCAGTTGCCTAAGAGTTTCTATTGTATAAAATGTTTCTGTTAACTCATTTATTGAACTATGACCATCCCACATAAACCTGATAAAGTAGACAGAAAAGTTATTGTCCCCATTCTACAGAAAACCAAACCAAACTTGGACAAGATTGCTTCACCGACTCTGTCTGCCCACTAACTTATGTGATGTGGCGTGGCCAAAACCTCAGTCCAGATGGCCGGTTTGACAATCCCACTCCATAGCACCTGGCCTATTCCTTCCTCATTTCAGCCACACTGTGGTGAGGTCACTGAGAGGATCAGTTCCATTTCCTTTAAAATCACAAGGGCAGGAACCAGCGTGGATGAACAGTGTGAAATTTATCAAGGACCATCACATACTAGTCACAGTTAAGCACGTGTGTCTTCTGATCCTCTGATCACTCCTGGGAGATAGGGGCACAGACCATATGATAATAGCCTTACAGATAAGCAAAGAGGCCCCACAGATGACTGAAGCCATTTGCTCACTTTCAGAGCATGGAAGGAAGAGAGCTGGGGTCTGAATGCCTGACTCCGAAGCAAGAACCATTTTCACTCTCGCCTCGCTTTATTAAATTATGTTACATTATCAGCAGCACCATCATCACTGTGTCTGCTGGTTACAAGTTCGGAAAAGTGGAAGGACGACACGGACAGAGAAGGGGGTGATGGGAGCACAGAGCACAGCTCTGGGCAGGTCTGCACACAAGCCATCCTTCATGAGGATGGCCTTGCCAGGTTAGTCTCTGCCTGTCTGCGGGCCCTCCCCTCCTTCAGCCCCACCAGCACCCATCTTCACTCAGTTCAGAGAGGGCTGCTTCTCAGAGAAAGACAGCAGTGAAAGGATCTTGGCCAGATTCACTGGTGGATTCTGCCAAATGCTTTAATGTTCAGCAGGCCCGTTTATGGCAAACTGAAGCGAAGGTACCACAGCAGGCTGGCAGATGTCAAAAGAGTCCTGAGCAGGAACATCTCTGGCCCTGCAGCACAGGTGGTCTGGGCTAGGGCTAAGGGAGTCATGGGTCAGGAACACTGACTGAGCCAGAAACTACAGCTCAATCATTTCAATCTTATATACCAAAGGTGAAACAAATATTGTTATAAAATATTTCAAGAGAATCTGATCTCCAAGGAATCTTGAAAATGATTAAAAAAAGAGGCCAATTTCATAAAGTAAAAGGCTGTTCAGAAACCCATCACTGAAATGACTGTTAGTTTGATAATTAAAGCTACCGATTTTTGTATGACTATGTATCTTTAAAACATTTGATTAGACTAATGGTTTTATTTTAAGTGTCTTGGGTGCAGGCAGGCATGTGCACCACACATTTGCCTGGTGCCCACAGAAGTCAGATCCCCTGTAACTGAAGTTATAGATGGTTTTTGAATCTGGGTCCTCTGTAAGAGCAACCAGTGCTCTTAATCACTGAGCCAGCTCTCCAGCCACAACTTTTCTTTATTAAAATGTAGTTGCAATGTTTTGCTTAGTCTACTGTTTAAAAAACAAAAATTCACCTGGGTGGTGGTGGTGCACACCTTTAATCCCAGCACTTGGGAGGTAGAGGCAGGCGGATCTCTAAGTCCCAGGCCAGCCTGGTCTACAAAATGAGTTCCAGAACAGCCAAGGATTAAACAGAAAAACTTCCTCACACACACACAAAGTAAACAAACAAACAAACAAACAAATAATTCTTAAAAAGTCCATGTCAATAAATATTTTCTTAACCTCTATATAGATTCCAACTAATGGTTTCCAGTTTTTAGTTTTCTATTATTATACATAACACACTAATACATACACAGCCCCACTAATTAAGGTTGACAATTTCTTTTAGATACGTTCCAAAGTCATAAATCAGAAATAAAGGGTTTCGGGTATCTGTCATACTATCCTCTATGAAGGCTATAAAGGCTTATATTAACAAGAACAAACAAATTAATTATGAAAGAGGATATAAAGCTAATGAGTTTGTTCAGTTCTAATTCTGTCATTGTGGTGGATACTTCGTAAAATTCAACAATAAAATGTAAAGTCCAACACGAAACACCACAGGTACAGATGGCCTTAAAACAAAACAAAACTAGCCAGGCGTGGTGATACATACCTGTAATCCCAGCACTTGGGGAGGAAAAAGAAGGTGGATCTCTGTGAGACCAGCCTGGTCTACAACGGAAGTCCAGGACAGCCAAGGCTACACAGAGAAACCCTGTCTCAAAAAACCAACAAAA